AATTGATATACACAATCAATGCAAACTCAAAACACTAGCAACATTTTTGTGGAACATTATGGTTCAAAATATTTATCAAATGCAAAGAGCTAAGAAGTGGCAAGATACTTAAAATAACATCAAAAAAGGAACACAACATAGAAGGACTAATTCTATCTGATATCTTGTATCCAGTTATTATTAATATGAAGCTATAGTAATTTTAAAACTGTGGTTCTCTCACAAAGGCACATAAAAAGAACACAAAGTCCAGAAAGAAATCCATACAAATATTAATAGCTGATTTATGACAGTGCCACTGTGGAACTGAGAGGAATAGTGTCAAAACAAATAGATGTCTCTATTTAAAATTTTAAAAACTAAAAATGTTTTGAAAAGAGGTTGGGCACAATGACTCATGCCTATAATCCCAGCACCTTGGGAGGCCAAGGAGGGAGGATCGCTTGAGGCCAAGAGTTTAAGATCAGCCTGGGCAATGTAGCAAAACCCCACCTCTGTTCTTTAATTAAAAATCTAAAAATTTTTTTTTTTAATTTTTTTTAAAAAAAGAAGATAATAAACTTGCTCAGTCATATATTTAGTTCATCTAAGCCCATGGTCTCTTTGATTTTTTCTTTTTCCTTAGAGATAGGGTCTCACTCTGTCACCCAGGCTGGAGTACAGTGTCAGGATCATAGCTCACTGCACCCTTGATGAGTGAATGAATAGGAGTTTATGTTATTTTAGGACATTTATATGTACTGAAACCTAAAATTTTTAGAAAAGGATTTGAGGCAGTCTACAATAAAGGACAAGTATTGTAATAATTAAAAGAAGAAAAATAAGGCCGTGCACAGAGGCTCACGCCTGTAATCCCAGCACTTTGGGAGGCCGAAGTGGGTGGATCACCGGAGGTCAGTAGTTCCAGACCAGTCACGCCAACATGGCAAAACCCCATTTCTACTAAAACTATAAAAAATTAGCCAGATATGGTGGCAGGCACCTGTAATCCCAGCTACTTGGGAGGCTGAGGCAGAAGAATTGCTTGAACCTGGGAGGCAGAGGTTGCAGTGAGCCCAGATCGCACCATTGTACTCCAGCCTGGGCAACAGAGCGAGACTCTGTCTCCAAAAAATAAAAAGAAAAATAATAAGAGCCAGTATGATAGACATCTATTGTTTTTCTGCTTCATAAGCATCCCCTTCTTTTGCAAACAGCACCCACCCCCCTGCATTATGGAAACTGCTCTTACCCCTGACTCCAACTATGTAGTTCTAGTGAGGGTTGCCATTCACAGTACCCTCCCCACTCCAGCCACAGAGATGATGGGCACATGATCCAAGACAGGCCAATCAGAGTCCTTTCCAGGATTCTTCAAGAAAGCCCCTTCCTCTGGTAGAAGGGGCTGGAAACAAGAGCTGCCAGCAGTCATGGTTCCAGCCTCATGAAGTAGAGTCTGTAGTGTGAGAGAATGAAATCAACACGCAGAGAAACAGAGATAAGAGGTGAAGTCCTAAACCCCATGGAAGGAGAAAGAGGGAACAAATATACTAATAATGATATTAATACAGCTGATGTAACTAAAGACCAGATTTGGTGCTAGGCTGCCTGGTAACCAGGACAAAAAGATAAACAGAATGTATTTCACAGATCTATCAAAAAGGAGGAAATATACCAGATACGCAAAGGAGATAATTTTCCTGATGCTTTATTATTAAAAGAACTTCTTGTACATGGATCTTTTATGTTAAGAGTCACTGAAGAACAAAATGGACAGTGTCCATGATGAAAGTGTTATATCAAATACAGATTTTATATGCTATTACTTATAATAACTGAGTTATATCTCAATCATTAAGCACAAGGGAAAAAATAACAACACAGTAGGCATTTGAAGAAGTGAATACATCAACTAGTTTTATTTTTTCAGGAAGCTTGTCAGCGATGAGGAAAAGATAAAAGGGCAAAAATGTAAATGGAAAGCAGAATTCATGAGACGATTCAAAAATGTTTGTGAGTTGAATGGGAAAAAAATCAAGTAAACAGGATAGACTGATGACTAGTACTTGGTAAAACAAGACCCTGTCAGAAACATAAAAAGACCACATCAGAAACACAAGTAGTTAATTCCACTTAAAGACTACCACCTCTCCTTCTTGAAACGCCAAATGACAACTGAGATAAAGGGCATAAAGCCATAAATATAAAAAAGACTATCCCTGGAAACTTGAAAGGACATATGACAAGTGGTAAATGACTTAGGACCAAACAAAGCCGCTGCAGTAAGACAAATCCAAAAGCAATGCATTAGAGCACCAGAAACTGGAGGAACATTAGATACCAGGCATCGGGGGAGGGGAGATGGGCATGCGCAGTGATGTTCTGTGTATCCAGGAGGGACGTTTCCAGAAAAGGCTAACCAAGAGGAATTGCATATCATCTGAAAAGCAATCAAAACAATCCCCTTATCCACTACATACTAACACGTAACTGGCTCTCACTTGCCCTAGAAAACTGCAAAGGTTAATTTTCTAGAGAGGGTAAATGTAAGAAATCTAGACTGAGGGACACCAGGAGCAGCTGAAGAAAAACAAGAATCACAAAAGTGTAATTCTAAATCCTCAAATTCCAACATCCATCTGGCTGAAGGAATATTGGTAACCAGGTTTGTCAATCCCAAACAGGTGATCATGATCAGATATATTTCTCTCTTACTAAGCTTAGAACCCCGCTATCACTCAATAATGTCTCCTCACACAGAACTTTCAATCCACTCATTAGGAATTTGTCTTAAATTTGAGGCTGGGCACAATGTCTCACGCCTGTAATCCCAGCACTATGGGAGGCCGAGGCAGGCGGATCACCTGAGGTCAGGTCAAGCGTTTGAGACCAGTCTGGCCAACATGGTGAAACCCCGTCTCTACTAAAAATACAAAAATTAGTCAGGTGTGGTGGCGCATGCCTGTAGTCCCAGCTACTCAGAAGGCAGAGGCAGGAGAATTGCTTGAACCCAGGAGGCGAAGGTTGTGCAGTGAGCCGAGATTGCACCACTGTACTCCAGCCTAGGCAACAGAGCAAGACTCCATGTCAAAAAAAAAAAAAGAAAAAGAAAAAAAGGCCAGGCCCAGTGGCTCACACCTGTAATCCCAGCACTTTGGGAGACCAAGGCGGGTGGATCACCTGAGGTCGGGAGTTCGAGACCAGCCTGACCAACGTGGAGAAATCCCGTTTCTACTAAAAATACAAAATTAGCCGGGCATGGTGGTGCATGCCTGTAATTCTCCGCTACTGGGGAGGCTGAGGCAGGAGAATCACTTGAACCTGGGAGGCGGAGGTTGCAGCAACCCGAGATCATGCCAGCCTGGGCAACAAGAGCAAA